GTCTGGAGAGATGGTTCTGTGGATAAAGCCACCTGCCCCCAAGCCTGGAATCGCTCCTCCCCCACCCCCCCCAGCCCAGCACATAGTGGAAAGAACCAACTCCCCCCCACAAGATACAATCTGACTCCCACACATTTATACACTAAAAAATAAAAATGTGGGCTGGAGAGTTGGCTCAGCTACAGTGTACTCATATACATAAAATAAGTCTTTAAATAAAATAAAATGTGTTAAAATGTTTAAGAAAAGGTGGGTCTGTTGATGCTGGAGAGAACACATGTCAGTTTGCTCAGAGGCTGGCCTCTGTTTAATCTTTGCCCTAGGCCCCAGTTACCAATACAGGGGAATGCAGTGTGTGTGTGGACAGTCCGCAGATCTTGCCCTCCGCCCCCACCCCCCAGGCTTCAGCTCCTTCTTTGGAAGATGGAAGGGATTAGGGGATTAGGACAGCTCACTCCCACAGATCTCCATCTGCAGAGCTGGGATCTTACCCAGGCTCACAGGTGGCTTGGCTCTGCCTCCAGGGGCCCCAGAGGGAAGAGGCGGGGCAGAAGCAGAGGGACAGAGACGGGACAGCTTTGCCAGCTGTGCAGCAGCAGCAGCAGCAGGAGGAGGAAGAGGAGGAGGAGAAAGAGGAGGAGGGAGAGGAGGAGAGGGAGGAGGAAGAGGAGGAGGAGGAGAGGGAGGAGGAAGAGGAGAGGGAGGAAGAGAAGGAGGAGGTTCCTGCACAGTGGAAAGACCCATGGGTCATCTCTGCTGAGTCCCTGGCACTCTTCCCAGCAGTTCCATGTAGGGACCAGGACCTGCCAGAGGACAACTTGAGAGTTCGGGAGCCAAGGCCTAGATGAGTGATGTGAAATACCCACATTCAGCTCTAACCCCTACCTAGGAGAGCATCAGAGAACCACTGTCCACCATTTGCCTCCTAGAGGGGTTCTGCAGACAGAGGTGAGACAGTCTTATCAATGTTGCAAAGGTTCCCAGGAGTCTGGCAGCCCTGCCAACTTTTGAGTGGCATCTTAAGAAGAAAGAAGGAACTGGGGGGGACATTCCAGCCAGATGAGCCACAGGATACCTTGTGAAATTTGGATTTCAGATAAACATTCTTTTTGAGACTAGTATATATTTAGCCCATGTAAAGATTCATATATAGTTGGTATGTGCTCATGCTAAAAGTTAATTCAGTGGGGGTTGGAGCGGTTCAGAGCCTGTACTACCCTTCCAGAGGACCTGAGAGGTTCCCATACCTACGTGGGGAGGCTTACAGCTTTCTGTAACTGCAGCTCCAGGGCATCCACCCTTCTGGCATCTTTGGTACTTACATACATGTGGAGTTCACTCATAGAGTCAGACACATACAAATTAAAAAAAAACACAAGTAAATCTTCAACAATTAATTAAATTTTTTTGAATTCTATTTGTCTTGTTAGTTTTATATCTGTATGACATTTATTTATGTAGTATGTAAGAGAGAGTGTGTGTGTGTACACGTGTCTGCATACATGTACCGTGGATGTCAGAAGACATCTTTGTAGGAGTTGCTTTTCCATATACCATGTGGGTCCTGGGGATCAAATTCAGGTTATCAGGCAAGCACCTTTACTCACTGAGCTACCTTGCTAGCCCTTTTTTGTTTTTTTGTTTTTGTTTTTGTTTTTTTGAGACTGTGTCTCAAATAGCCTAGGCTAACTTTTACTACATAGTGGAGGCTAACCTTGGAATCTCGATCCCCCTGCCTTCACCTCCCAAGTGCTGGGGTTACAAGCACACGCTGTCACACTCTGTCTCTATGGGGTTTTGGAAATCAGGTGGGGCAAAGGAAGGGAAAGAGAACAGGGAGGACAGGGAGCTCAATGTTGGGGTGCCCACACAACATGTGGAAGGTCCTAGTTCATCCCCAACATGGGGTGGGGGGGAGGAATGGATGAGAAGGAGGAGGGCAGGGGTGGGGTGACCACCCTCTACTGACTTCCTCTCCCAACTGTGTGCAGAGTACAAGGAGTGCTTCTCCCTGTATGACAAGCAGCAAAGAGGGAAGATTAAGGCCACAGATCTTCTGGTGTCCATGAGGTGCCTAGGGGCTAGCCCCACGCCTGGGGAAGTGCAGCGGCACCTTCAGACTCATGGGATAGGTGAGTGGGCTGGGCAGTCCTGGTGGGTTTGTGAAGGGCCTAGCTGGGAGAAGTGGCGGTGGCAAAAGCTCGGAAGCTTGAGGTGCTGGTGGCAGTGTGCCTCACTGGTCTGTACTGGAGAGGTAGCTAGCTGGCCACATATACTGTGTTTTATCCCACAGGGGACTTTGGTCTCATGTCCCACCAATTCTGTCTCGGCCCCTGAGAAAGCACACTAACAATGGGTCCCAGTGGTTTTTCTCTCTGGTTTTATTTGAGATAGGGTCTCATGTAGCCCAGGCTGGTCTTGAACTTACCTTGTGTTAGCCCAGGGTGACACTGAGTTTGGATTCTCCAGCCTCCACCTCCCGAGTGCTGGGTTTACAGATGTGTACCACCATACCCACCTCCTGTATTTAAGGGGAAACAGCCTTTTGCAGGGGGTTTGGCATGTGCTTAGTCAAAACAGCCCGGTTGTGTGAGCCCTATCCAAGCATGTCTTAAACAAAGATGCCTCCCAGAGCCAGTAAGGTACCCGGGCTCTGGAGCCGACGGAGGACTGAAGAGCAGGACTCAGTCCTTCTGATTTCATAGGCTGACCTAGGAACTGTAACACAGCTGCCAAACTGACAGGAAACCCAGCCCAAGCACTACCAAGCAGCTCTCTCTGCTGCTGTCATTGAGGGAGACTTTCTCTTTTGACTGGAACATATGGGACTTTTATCATCAAAACCAATTTGCATTTCTTTATTTTTAGGAATTAAAAACTCAGGTAGTAGTATACTACACCTGGGGACTGGACACTGGGGCAGGGGTGGGGGGTGGGGACAAGCCCAGAGAAAGAGGTGGCTTTGGAAAGAGCACTTGACCTGGAGCCTGAGTCCACCCCTCAGCACCTGGACCTCAGCATCCTCACCTCTCAGATGGGCTCTCTAGATCTGCTAGGGTGACTGGAGGCCACATGAACATCTCCTCCTACAGGCCTGAGCCCAGGGAGGCAGAAACCTCTCCATTCCAGCTCTGAAGGGGCAGGGGTTACATTAGCTTCTCTTTTCCTTAGAATGGAGGGAACAGTCAGGGGCATTCCCATTTGTTGTGCAAAGTGGTGTGAGGATGGTAGAGCCTGAAGACCAGGGCTTGAGACTCAGCTATCTTTAGTGGATCTGGTGCCTGACAAGAGGAGAATGGACCCACTGACCTGGACCAGGTTCCCTCCATTTTAGAAGCATGGGAGAGAGTACAGGAGGAGGCTCGGTCTGGTCCTGTGCCGTGATTCAACGCTCTGGGTTACTGTCTCTTAGCAAGCAAGATTGGAGGAGGGATTAACCATCATCACGTCTTAGTTGTGTCCTCCTGTGCCCCCCCCCCACCCCGTTGCTATGATAAAATGCCATGACGAAAGCAGCTTAAGGAGAAAAGGTCCATCCCAGCTTGAAGCACTGGATCACATGACCAGAAGGCACCAGCAATGAATGCCTGCATGCTAACTGAATGAATTCACTTCTCCACTCTGCTCTAACACTTGGGAGATCTCCTACCCTAGAGAATGGTGCCTATTTGGTTTCGGACCCAGGACCAGGGACTGAGGTGCCTATTTAACACAACAAAGCAGACCTGGCCTCCAGGTTCTCCCAGCAACCCTCAGTCCCTACCTGGCATATCCTGCCCTCTACCCTGAACTTTCCAGCCCAGGGACTGGGCTGCCCTTCCCCCAGAGGTTCTTCTCTATGTAATCCAGACATTTTGGTCTCTCCCTTACTCTTCTTCTTCTCCTCTCTCTGCAGGAGCACCCTCTCTTTCTCTTCCCCCTCCCCCAACTCTCCCCATGGAGACTCCCTTGACCTCAATCCTTGGGGCCAGTGAACTTACCTGAGATTCCCAATAAACCTGCCTTTAATATAATCTAATCTGGTTTAAACTGGCTCAATTCACCGGCAGTGAAAATAGCCTATCAGTGCCACCCAAAATGACTGTGTCTTTCACATCAGTTAACATAATCAAGGTGACACCCCCCCCCCCCGTATGCCCCACAGAACTTTCACCAAGATTCTAGATTCTGTTAAATCCATACTGTACATCTGTACATGTGTTTTACTTACGGTTTTACTGCTGTGAACAGACACCATGACCAAGGCAAGTCTTATAAGTGACATTTCATTGGGGCTGGCTTGCAGGTTCAGAGGCTCAGTCCATTACGTGGGAACACGGCAGCAACCACACAGGCATGTGCAGGCAGAGCTGAGAGTTCTACATCTTTATCTGAAGGCTGCTAGCAGAATACTGGCTTCTAGGCAGCTAGGATGAGGGTCTTAAAGCCCACACCCACAGTGAGACACCTACTCCAACAAGGCCCCACCTCCAAATAGTGCCACTCCCTGCGCCAAGAACATACAAACCATCACAACATGGTTCCTGATGATCCCTGGGAGGATGAAATGGAGACTTTCTATGCTGTGAATGGCCCATGGTGGGTTCAGGAGGAGGAGCTTCGTCTCCTTTATCATGACCACTGCCTTGAGAACTAGGTAGCGTGGAGCTGGCTTCCCTCAGAACCATTCCCTAGAGCTCACTGGTTTGTGGGGTTTCCTAGACAAGCATGGAGAGCTGGATTTCTCCACCTTCCTGACCATTATGCACATGCAAATCAAGCAAGAGGACCCAAAGAAAGAAATCCTTCTGGCCATGCTGATGGCAGACAAGGAGAAGAAAGGTTACATCATGGCGTCCGAGCTGAGGTCGAAACTCATGAAACTGGGAGAGAAGCTCACTCACAAAGAAGGTACCAGCCTGGCTGGCTCTGAGCCATCTGGGAAGGGTTAGGGAACTCTGGGGAGGGCAGTGTTGTGTTGCCCACCCAAGGCTGTGTAGACAGCAAGATGATGAATGGCCCGGAACCTTGAGAGCAGAGGTAAAGCTGGCTGAAATGTGGGACTGGAGTTTAAGGCAGAACCAGAGGGGAGAGGCATGTGGGTCAAGGTAGAGACAGACCAGTTGGAGTCCTAGAAACAGTGGAGGCTGACTTCCTGTGAGCAGCCGGGGCATCTGCCGGGATTCACAAATGATGAACAAACCTTTCACTGAGGATCTCAACGTGGCTCAGAATGGCTAGCAATGGAGCCTTTTTTTTTTGTTTTTAGAACTTTACTGGTGTGGTTATCAAATGTCAACTTTGTAGGCGATAATGTTGTATCACAATGTCAAAGACATAGCCCCGAGACAGGGGCTAGAGAGATGGCCCCATGGTAGAGTCTGTCCCACAAGCATGAGGATCTGAGTTTGGATCTTGGGAACCCATGTTTAAAACAAAACAAAACAAACAAAACAAAACAAAACAAAACAAAAGCTGGACAGGTGTGTGTGGCTGCCTGTAATTCTAGCACTCATTTGCGGGGCAGAGATGGACTGCCAGGGCAAGCTGGCTAGCTAGACTAAATCCGAACTGTGGGCCCTAGGTTCAGAACGCAGAAGAAAAGTCGAGAGCCATAGAGGAAGATAGCAGACATCAACCTCAGGTTTCTATACATTGGTGCTGGTGCACCTGCACATGAGCCTCCACACAGATGAACGGGCGTACACATGTGCACAGGAACCACACCCACTAAAAGCTATGACACAGGGCACACTGGCAACACAAGAGTTCAATTGATAAAGGGGGACAGCAGAGTGGCTCTTCAGTAGAGCTGAGGCAGAAGGCAGGGTGCAAGAGCCCCTCATCTCCAGGGCCATCTCCTTACCACAGCTGGGTCTGATACAGCCATCCGTGGTATTTCCAAATTGAGAGGCCATTGTGCCTCTGCCCCTAGCATCCCTAGGAACTGGGGGGTGTGGGAGCTTTTCAGGGTTAGCTAGGGAACTCTGTCCTGGCCAGCCACTGAAGTGGTCTTGCCTACCACATTTCTTGCTTCAGAGCAGGATGAGGGCCTGGACCTTGTGAGAGAGCTCTAGGTACAGTCTCGGGCCATTTGCAGTGTCTTTTTTTTTTTTTTTT